TACTAGTACTAGTACTAGTACTAGTACTACTACTACTACTACTACTACTACTACTACTACTACTGCTACTACTACTTCTACTTCTACTACTACTTCTCCTACAACTGCCACTAGTACTATAACTACTACGACGACTAGTGCTAGTACTACTAGTGTTACTACAACTACTGCGCCTCATATTACTACGACTGGTACTGCTGTGGTTGCACGACGACGACTAGTACTGCTACTGCTACTAATTGCTACTTCTTTAATCACGACTTTGCAGCTCGTTCACGCAGACGAGTCCCATTACAACAAACACGCTGGAGATAGCGAGGTGCGCCCTTTAGGAGTGCCCACGAGGCAGGGCCGAAGCAGTACAATAGGATTTCTCTTGTGCGGTTGCAAAGCCACCTTTCTGGTTGTAAGGTGAGCGTACTGGAAAACCCACGCTGGTTGGAAAAATGCCCCATATGGATATAAAGTGGCCCCATAGGGAGCTCCACTAAAGGCCCCAATGGCTGCGCCCGCATTCCACCACCGCACCAATGGCGGCACACCACTTACCCGTTCCGTGGCCCCATAGGGAGCTCCACCGAGGGCCTCTGTGATGAGTTCGCATGCGTCCGCCCGCTCCAGTTCGGCACACCCTCACACGTTTCGCGGCCACATAAGGGGCTCCACCGAGGGCCTCCATGATGAGAATTCGCATGCACACCCTGGACCCATTTCGACACGCCTCTCTTTCGCGGTCCCATAGGGAGCTCCACAGAAAATCCCAATGGCTCCGTTGGTATGCCACCACCGCGCCCAATCCGGCAAACCCTAAACACAGCTCGTGACCCGAAACGGAACAAAAACTGTACCCACAACGCGGTACCCACAACTGCATGTGGTTGGATCCTTCGCCAAGAGAATTTCGGACTGCGCGGGCACTTACGGAACCCTGGGACTGTTGAATACTCTCGACGCGGAGATCCCGACATGGGCACATACTCGACGCGGAGACCCCCCTGCTGTGAGTGTGGCTGCGAGCGTCTGGGCGTGAGAGCTAAACCGAATGGGCGACTGGCACGACGACGATAACCACGGCGGCGGCTACGATCAGAGAAAACGACGACGACGACGATGACGACGACAACTCACGAACAGGCGGTGAGTAAATTCCTTCTTCTCCAGTCCTTCCTCCCACTGGGACACGTCATCCCCAGAGTCTGAGTGCAAAAGGGGGAGTGTCCCCGGCCCTGGCGGCTCCCCATTGGGGCGCCCAAGTGTCACACCTGCTATATCGCGGAGACCGTCGGACCAGCAAAGGAGATGAGTCCGAGGCTTCGAAACAACCAAATCGCCTGAGACATCCCCACAATCTGAGAGCGAATCGTGGAGGTGTCCCGATCCCTGGCGGTTCCCCCTTGGGGTGCCAAAGTGCCACACCTGCTATATCGTGGTAAGCATTGAACCCAAACAAAAGACAGGAGTCCGAGGAGCGCGGATCAGGAAGTGCCCCCACCCCTGGGGGCTCCACCTCGGGGTGCCCCAATGTCACGCCTGCTACATCGCGGTGAGCAGTGGACAACCAAACGAAATGAGCCCGAGGCGCCGAAACCGGCAAACCACCCGAGACATCCCGAAAATCTGAGCGCGCAAAGCATGGACCCCTTGCGGTTCACCCGTGGGGTGCCCAGGTGCCCCGCCTGCTACATCGCGGTGCGCAGGGGACCACCAAGAGGCAGGAGTGCGAGGGTCTGAGTTTTGAGGCCTTAGTGCGAATCCGCAGGAGTATGAGAATGTCACCCGAAGAACCAGCGAAAACGATGGAGGGGGCCTGAGGCTGGAAGCTGACGGATCTTGCGAGAACAACCGGGAGCTGCTAGAGGTGCCCCCCAGGAAAAAGCGCCCCAAGGATCGGGGGCCCTTGGAGAGCAAGTCGCGCCAAAAACTGGGATCGGACAAAGACTGAGTCCGAGGAGTATCGGTTGTATTTATTTGCTCCATGGCATTATTACCGATTCTCCCAGGACCACTCCTGGGGCGCGCTCTGACTAGGATTTCGAGGGGAATCCAGCGGTGGCAACGAGGGCTCCCCAGAACGAGAAGCGGAATCGGTATCTGCTTCTCCTCTGAAGTGGGGCCTGTTCTAGAGGAACAAAAAGACTGAACACAAACTGTTGGAGGTCCGCCGGAACATAAACTGTGTCTGTTACTCCTCTGATGTGTTGGGGTCCTGGGAATGGGCACCGTCACCAACGCAGGTGGTTGTCTGCACCAGGGACAAAGGATCCTTGATTTTGGTGCTGGTGGTGATCTCTCGGCCACACAGGAAGCACGACTGATATCACCATCAGAGTCGAGGCTCCGAACCGTCTTTCTCATAAGATGTTCCGAAGAGTTGCCACTTGCGCGCTCCTCTAGGTGGCGAGATCAGGGTCACGCTCCCTCAGGGCAGCCGCCGATACAGATGTTGGCGGCACCCTCTAGGCCTCCGAACGTTGCCCCCTGGCTTTTGGGTGATAGCTCGGCTCTCCAGCGACCGCTCGGGACAATCCAGGCACCCCAGGGACGCCCTCGGCGAGGCGCATCCGCTGAAGCCACCCCGAGGCTTGCAAACCGCCGAGGACCACCGAAAGCGTCTGAAACCTCGAACCTCGAACATGAAACGTTCCCCCGAGTGCCATTATCCTTTTTAGATAGGTTAGAAACTGTTTTCCGTTCGGCGATACCCTGGCTTATCGGGGGGGGGAATGGGGGGGATGGGATGGCCGATAAACTAACCTTCGCGCTGCGGGCAGCACCGCATATGCCCGCGCACATCAGTGCTGCGGCCAGAAAAAACTGCTAACGATGCTGCGACAGTGCTAAGATTCGTGCTGCGACGAGGCGGGTGCCGTCTGGGAATGCCGAAGGATGTGTCTTGACCTGCTGAACCGGCATGGTGAGGCTACCCAAAGGGGCCAGGGGGGGGGGGCGAGCCTGGTAGCCCAGATTATCGCGGGACCGAGAAAAAAACACTCTCTGATTCGGCCCTTGGGCTCCTCCTGCTCGAAGTCGTCATCGTAGGCGTCCCCCCGCAGCGCCGCCGTGGCGCCGTGGGGCGACGTGGGCGCGGCCCGGCCGGCCGGCGGCGGAGCGGCCTGCCCCGGGGGTGGGGCCGGCCACTGTCCCTCTTTATTTGCGTTACACTGTTTTTGCGTTGCGCTACTTCGAGAGCCATGCTTGTAGCGGTCTTCTTCTTCTTTTTCTCCTCCTCCTCCTCCATCTGGACCTAGTTCTGGAGAGCCTCTCTCCCCCTCCTAGACCTCGTCCTCCTCGTTTTGCTTTTCGCAACATCAGCGACAAGACTGTTGTGCTCCTGTCTGCAAAATTTGTCAGACAGCGATCCATGAAATAGGGCAGACAGTAAAGACGCCTGAGTGCAGACTCCTCCTCCTCCTCCTCCTCCTCCTCGTCCTCATCCTTCTCCTCCTCTCCCATCCCTGCTCCATATCGAGATGTAACTCCCCCCTGTCGCACCCCCAAAAGTGTCCGTAGTAGGCGGGCTGGACGTGTTGCCCGAGATTTCCGCACCATGTGTGATCCTAAAGCTTGCGATCTGCAACAGCTTCAAGGATGGGGGGGCGCTCGGTTTCGAAAAGGCGGATCTCGCCTGAGCGTCGGGCGCATTCGGCCTAGCAGTGTTTAACAGCTTCAGGGGTGGAACGAGGGTCGGTCTAGAGCCGCGCACAGTCGCTTAAAGTTCGCACGAAATTGAAGGATGGATGGCGGATAGTCTCGGACATGCTGCATTCGCCTGAGCGCCGCGCACTCTCGTTTTCTTGAAAGCTCGTCGCGATTTCAAGGGTAGAAGGCGGGTCGTTTTCAACAGGTGAAAATCGCATCTGCACCGCGCGGAATCATCTGAACACACTGCAGCAGATTCAAGGATTGGTGGGGGTGAACTTCCAGGATTGGTGGTCTGGCACGGCTCACGATTCTAGGGACGCAACAATCACGTTGATTCGCGGTGCTGAAGTTCCAGGAGCGGTTTTTCGGGCTCGATTAAAAACTTTCGGGGCGCAACGGTCGTATGTATTCGCGGCGTTTACATGCAAGGACCTGTGTTCGGGCACAGTCGAGGATTACCATACGCTTGTCTATCAGTGGACAACTTCCTGCAATAGAGACATAATACTGGAGGACCATATGACAATGAACTTGGAGGAAGGGTGGATTGCAACATCGTTGATGCGTCTTGGATGTTCAATGGTCCTTATCTTCCTCTTCTTTCTGCCTCCTACCTTTGGACCTCCTGGAATTCAAACTCCCCCTTTTGGACCTCGTCCTCCTTCTCCTCCACATCGTCCAGTAGGAGGAGGAGGAGGAGGAGGAGGACTATGGGTGTGAGATGGAGCATGATTATGAAGTCCAACATCATCCTGTTCCTGCTCCTCCTCTTCCTCCTCCCCATCATCATCATCATCATCATCATCATCATTCCCTCGTTCCCCCCCCCTCCTCCTCCCCCTCCTTCCCCTCCTCCTCCTCCTCCTCCTCCTCCTCCTCCTGCTCCTCCTCCTCCTCCTCCTGCTCCTCCTCGTCCTCCTCCTCCTCCTCCTCGTCCTCCTTCTCCTCCTCCTCCACAATTACTCAATATGAGTACTACTCTCCCTCTTCCCCTGATGACGGTTTGAAGTCCTCGACCCCCCCCCCCCGCGAACTGTTTTTTACACACAGGTTTCCCCAGAGTTGGGTTTTCGCCTGCATTCTTTTCAAAATGCTGCTCTCGCTGAGGCGCCGGCCTCATGTTCGGGCCCCGCTCGTTCCGAATCGTGCTCCCGCTGCAGCGCTGGCCTCATTTCCGTGCTTCCGCTCGTTCCGAATCGTGCTCCCGCTGCAGCGCTGGCCTCATTTCCGCGCTTCCGCTCGTTTCGACTCGTGCTCCCGCTGCAGCGCTGGCGTCATTTCCCGTGCCATGCCACGGCATGCAATGCAATGCTAGGTTGATACTACGCTTTGCGGTGCTCTTCTACGCCATGCCATGCCGTGCTCTACAATGCATCGCGTACCCTTTCGGGATCATTGCCCTGCTCGACATCCGACTGTGCGAGTAGAGAGGGGATCTACGCCATGGTAAGGGATGGGAGGATGGGGTAGGATGTCAGATATGACGCGAGCGCACCTAGCTTGTCTTCCTCCCCCTCCCCCTCCCCCCTCCTCCTCCTCCTCCTCCTCCTCCTCTCTCTCCTCCTACTCCTCCTCCTCCTCCTCCTCCTCCTCCTCCTCCTCCTCCTCCTCCTCCTCCTCCTCCTCCTCCTCCTCCTCCTCCTCCTCCCTCCTCCCTCCTCCCTCCTCGTCCTCCTCCTCCTCGTGCACGTCGTTCTGGGTGTGCGCCCCTCCTGCTCTGGCATCCTGCCAGCACGAGAGGGCGGCGGCGCGCCGAGGAGAGAGGCAGTGCGCAGGGGGCAGGCCTCCTCGGAGGGCGGCGGGGCTCCGGAGACGGCCCGGAAATCTTCGCAGAGGGCCGGAGGCCTTCGGAGCCTTCTGACACGATCGATCCTGGGTCCGCCCTCCTGCTCGACCCTCCCTCCTGCTCGAGCCTCCCTCCGTCCCGACCCAGTCGTTCCTCGATCCTCCCTCCTCCCTCCTCCTCCCTCCTGCTCGATCTGCGACTTCTGAAAGGAGCTGGTGGTCTTGATGCCCCATGGTGCTGCCCGAGGATAGGACCGTTTCGGCGTCGTGGGCCAAAATAAAAACACGGCATTGGAAGCCTGGGCCTCTTGCTGTCACTGTTCCCAGTCATGACACTGCTGCTCCTTCACCTCTTCATCCTCCTCCTCCTCCTCCTCCTCCTCCTCCTCCTCCTCCTCCTCCTCCTCCTCCATCTGCTCCTCCTCTCCTCCCTCCACCTCCTCCTCCGTCTGTGGTGTCGCCGCCGCGATCGACACGACACGAGCACAACGTACCCACCCATCCGCCGACATAATGTTTCAATCCGCGGTCCCAAACTCCCGACCTCGTCACCAGGGGTAGTCGTTCGTCCCGGATCCGTCCGGGGTCCGATGACGGACCCCAGAGGCTGAAATCGAGGAATGACGACCGGATAAAGAAAGACCAAGTCCTCGGAAACAACTGCTGATACAGTTACTCCCCAGACCTCTTCCAGGGTGCGTTCTGACCAGAATATCAGTGCAAACCCAACGGTGGCGACGAGGGTCCCCAGAGAAACACCAAAAAACTAAAAAAAATGCAGATGTAATGGTACCTCTACCTTTTCTTTAGAGGCCCGAAATGGGTACGGATACAAATGGGCACGATGCCCAACAACAGATGTTACCCAAGACCGGCAGCGGCCGCTGTTGGGCAGGCGGCCATTCTGTCTCAAGGGAACCCCGCCCGTGGTGACGCCGACAGCGAGCCGTATTCACAACATGAGCATTATGTTTGTACCCATTCTTATACCCATTATTTGTGCCCAATGTTGTACCCATTATTTGCTTCTTGAGCCCAGGAACGAGTCAATGTTTGTGCCCATTCTTTCCTTACCCATTTCGATCGTCCTCCTCTGACGCGTGGCTCCCGCACCCTGGGGCGAGCGAGGTTCTCGCGAGTCCTCCGCCGCTCCCCGAGGAGGCCCGACGAGGGCCACGTGGTGCCCCCAAAAAACCCAACGATGCGGACCGCAGATCAACCCAGGCGTCACCACACCCGTCGAAGCCACACCCGTCGAAGAAAGGCGAAATGGTGGCAGTATCTTCTCGGCGAGCCAGGGGGGAAGTGAGAAGGGGCGGGTTTTCTCAGAAAGCTCCGGAGTCCACCTGCCTTCCAAGAAGTCTCCCGAGCCTTCCCCGAAGACACCGAGAACTTCTCAGAAGGCCAGAGGGCTTCCGAGAAGCCCCGCCGCCTTCTGAGAAGGCCTTCTCCTTCTCGCTCTCCCCCCTCGACTCGGGGAGACGTAGACTCGGACTCGGGGGACTCGGGTTGGCCTGACGGGGCCAGCATGAAAATGACGAGACCCAATCTGAAACTAGACGCGAGCTCCCGCTGCAAGCATCCCACGAGCCCTGGACCGTCAAAATCGGGGACGCGCTCGTCAACAAGTGTTGGCAAACCCAAATTCTGGCGCACTCGAACCCTGCGTTCCCCCCTCACTCGCCGCCGAGCATCTTGAGCACGGACCGGCCGCCCAGGCATCCCTAATTATAGGCCTACCGCAAAGTGTTCTTAGAACATGAGCCGGATGTGTTGAAACAAACATTATCAGCCAAATGTGCTCTGAAAACATTCCGCGCAAACTACAACATGTCCTTAGAACATTTGGTGGTCGGGTGGTGCTAGACGTACCCCTGGCCCAAGGGGCTCCCAGGATTCTCGGGGTGGCCCAGACGGCCTCCAGAGCACCCCTCACGAGGCCCAGAAGGCCCCAGGGGCTTCAAAATGGAGCGAAAAGCTGGGGGCTCCTTGGGCCAGGGGCACTTCTAGCAACACTCGAGGTGGGCCTCGAGGCGAGCCGGGACGCTTCGCCACTGCACGACCACCGCTGCGTGCTCCTCCCGCGACGTGCGGCTCCCTCCCCGCCCGGCTCCCTCCAGGGGGCGTGGCCCGCGGCGGCCTCGGCGGCGCCCGGCGCCTGGTCCCTCTCGGCCAGCTGCACCAGGGCCTCGGCGCAGCGCCTCTGTCGCGGGCGCGGAAACACGGATTAGCGATCCATGGATCTGGCGCGCGGTCGCCAACTCCATGGATCGGGGGAAGTGCCCGCCCCCCAAGTGCGGCCGGTGCCGCCTCGTTCGGCGGCGGAAATCCGCGATTTGGCATGGAAATGTGTGCGATCGGCGGCGGAATCCGAGCCCCACCTCGCCGACCCACGATGCGGGCATCTCGCTGGGCGGCAGGGGCAGGGTTCGGGATCCGTCGAGCACGTGGCGAAATCCCCACCCTGCCCCCCCCCCGCCTCCCATCGATGCACGAGAATCGATGGTTGGTGTGGGTAGGGTCCGGATGTCGCCACGGACCTCCTCCCCTGAGCCTGCTCCTCTCCTCCTGGAGCACTGTTTCGTAATATTTTCGGTAGGGCCCCTTACGGGCTCGAATCGCTAGGGGATACACAAGTGGGTTTATGGCGCTTCGATGCTTGATCAATGCGAGGGGGCCTGGCCGATCTTCGATTTGAGGCTGGTCCCCGATGTAGCGCGCTCCTCCTCCTCCTCCTCCTCCTCCTCCTCCTCCTCCTCCTCCTCCTCCTCCTCCTCCTCCTCCTCCTATTCCTCCTCCTCCTCCTCCTCCTCCTCCTCCTCCTTTCGCCAGCTCTCTCCGCCTGCTATGACCAGCCTATGTCTGTTGTCCAGTCGTGCTTCGTTGTTCTCATTTGTGGTTGCCAACGTGCAATCTTGCCAACGCGCTTCTTGACGCAATGCTTCAGTCAATCGGTCAGTCAGCGAGGAACTCCAGACCTGTCGACCCCCAACCCGGGGCCAGCGTCTCCTCCCGATAACATTGTACCCTGACAGCCCCGAAGGCCCGACACAAGCATCCTGATGTCAACACTGACAACCCACGGGCCGCTTCCATTTTTGTCCGAGGCGTCCGTGGAAGAAGAACAACTGCATGCACTGCGTATTCGACGATGGACCCAGTGTTACCCACCAGCCCTGGGCCGTCTTCGGCGGGCCGCGGCGGTCTTCTGGCGCTCTCCGGCGGAAATCTGACGGTTTTCGGCGGTTTCCGGCGCGAAACCTTGATAGTTGCTGATCTGATGGGACGCACGGGGACATACTAGGTACCACCATAACAGATAGTATCTATAACAGATAGTATCCCCATCTTGTAGTAGATCGATTCCCAAGCGGTGTGGCCAGAAAGCGCCCGCCACGACGCACACACTACTCAATCTCTCGGTGCGCGCGTCGCCCCTGGGGGGCGACGAACACATATTATCAGTATGTTGGGGCGACGCCGACCTAATGCTTCGCGAATAACTGTCCTAATTATCGTCTCAGTGTGGCCTCGGATGTGGAGGTGGCTAAGCGATGAAGCTGCTCTCCGAGCTTGGCTGCCATCTCCTCTTCTGCACCGGACACTCGATTGCGCCACTGGCATTCATGGCCTAGATCATGAGCCGTTTCCTTGCCAGCGGTCCCCTGACCTTGGTGAGCGGCGTATTCGGGGTCATGGCTGCTAAGATGGGAATGAACTGAGAAGTGCGGAAGTTCGCAATCCTGGGCAGGGTCGTCAGCGCGACATACAGGAGACTGCTCTCGGAGAGTCCCCCACGATAGGCACGTCCGTGCTCCCATGGAAACACTCGTGCCCGCGCTGGAGGACGAGGAGGATGAGGAGGAAAGGAGACAGAAGAGGAGTAGGACGACGAGGACGAGGACGAGGACGAGGACGAGGAGGAGGAGGACAAGAAGTAGGACGACGAGGAGGAGGAGGAGGAGGAGGAGGAGGAGCAGCAGGAGGAGCAGGAGGGCTCCCCCCCCGCAGCGCGGCGCACAGGGCAGGCGCCGTTCCCGCTCGGACAGCCGCCGCTCCACCTCGCCCGTCTCCCGCAGCAGCTCCGCCCTCGAGGGCTCCTCCTCGGTCCACCTGCGTTGGCGGGGCTCAGGGGGGAGGCGAGGAGGGGGGAGATGACGCAGCAGGCGCGTGCGTGCGCCTCCCCGCCTGCGCAAGAAAACAAAGAGGGAGGAGAGAAGAGGGAGAAGGGGGCGGAGGCAGGAGGAGGGGAGGAGGGAGGAGAGACGAGGGAGAAGCGTCTCGGTGTTCTCGCGCAGTGGAGTCGGGCTGGGTGGCGCAAATACCACTCAAGGGAGAGGAAGCAGGCAAGCCCGGGCTAGGCGAAGGTCATCCTTCGGCCCTCGGACTCGAGTCAACATGCCTCGAACCCTGAATCACAGTGCCCCGAGTTCAAAATGCCTCGAGGCCTCGGTTTCCCCAGGAGCTCACGACGCCCCAAGGCCCACCTCTGGTGTCTCGCCCTTACGGGGTCTGGTCCTGGCTGCGCCCCTCGTGTTGTCTTTGCCATTCCCAGACCGACGCCTGGGGGCTGTTTTTGGTGACCTGGACGGGGGTTCCGTCGTGGTCCTTCGGGGCCACTCTCCATGCCGAGTCGACTTCTGACAGCCCCCGGGGGTCGCCGAGCGGCGGCCTCTCGGACGCCGAACATTGCGGAGGGCGAGCGGCGCGCGTCTGCTGCAGCCGCCAAGAAGCCGACAACGAGCACGAGGGCGTGGCGGAAGGAAGGCGGCAAGGTGAGAAGGCGGGGTGCCTTGTAAGAGGGCGCGGGGTTCTTCAAGAAGGCCCGGGGGCTTCTGCGACACTGGCCGCAGGAGGGCAAGATGCCCCGTGACCCTGCCAAGAAGGCCCCTGCCTGCACAGAAGCCCCCAGACTCATTAGAACGCCGCCCCCCTGGCACCACCCCTTGTTGTGCGCGCCGCCGACGGAGGGGGGAGGAGGAGGAGGAGGAGGAGGAGGAGGAGGAGGAGGAGGAGGAGGAGAAGGAGGAGGAGGAGGAGAAGGTAGAGGAGAAGGAGGAGGAGCTGGGGGAGGAGGACAAGGAGGAGAAGGAGATTAGGGAGAGAAAGGATTCGGAGGAGAGAGGAGGCAGTGGAGGATAGGAAGACGAGGACGATGAACGGGTCTAGGTCGTCCTCCTCCTTCCTGAAGCGGCCCAAGGAAACAATAAACACAAATCCAAATATTCCCAACATTTCCCCACACTTTCTGGATGTTCGTCTTCCCCTCCACTTCCCGTGTTTTCCGCATGTTCCTGGGAATCGGCGACTCTTTTTGTCTATGTGTGTGTCCCTTCCTGACCTCGCAGGATCTGCCAGCACACCATCGGGAACTCGGATCAGCGTTGCAGCGGGCATGGAATCGGACCGCGCGGGCACGGCGCAGAAACCGAATTGGACCGCCGCGCCACGAGGCACAACTAAGCCGTGCAGGTATCGGGCGGCATCGGATCGTCGGAACATCGCGGAGCAGGGCGAATGGAGTTAACGGCAATTCGACGTCAATCCCTGGACCCCTCTAGGGGTCCGAACGCACACTTGTTTCCCGAGCTGCGTCCAACTGTAGCGACAAGCGACGTTTACACCGCACGGTTTTGGGACTTGGGTCGTTCTCCGATGACCTCTCGGGCGGCCGAGGCCTCCGAAGTCCCAAGACCGTGTGATGACGGAGCGCACGGTGAGGTCTCCTGGCTCCTGAGTCCGCGTGCCCGCCTGCTCGCCGCCTCCTCCTCCTCCTCCTCCTCCTCCTCCTTCGGCCTCCCCGCGCCCCTCCTCGGCCTCCCCGCGTCTTCGTGACCTCGGCCTACCCCTCCCCGCGTCCTCGCGAGCCCTCCTTCGCCCTCCCCGACTCCTCCTCGGCCCCCCCCCGCCCCTCTGGGCGGAGCGCCCTGCCACGCCCGCCCCGCCGCTCCCGCTCCCGCGCAGGCGGCTGCCTCCAACACCGGCGTCGTCGTCGGCGTCGGCGCCCGCGCTGCTGCGTTCGCGCGCCCGTCGTCGTCGTGTCGCTCGTCGTCCCTCGCCGTCGCCGCTCGTCCTCGTTACCGTCAGCATCGGCGGCCTCGTGCCCCTGCGCGAGAACGCGCGAGGCCAGCTTGGAATCCTCCCGTCCTCCTGCTGCCCTCCTCCCGCTCTCCTCCGCCTGTCCGCCTCTTCCTGCCCCTCTTCACTTTCTTATCGCCTCCTGCCCGGCAGGTCCTCCTCCTCCCCTTCGACAGTCCTCCTCCCCCCGCCCTTCCCCATACTCCCCCTGCCCCACAACACTGATAAAAATCAGTGGCGACTGCCACGACCCAATACTGAGACGATGGGCCGTAGCGAAGATGGCAGGGGTCGGTGAAAACAGGTCCTCGGCAACATTGCTGCGTGAATCTTTCGCGCGGATGGCATTCACGACGACCACAAAGAAACACCTCCAGCTCTATGTCCACCTGGCCGCTCATTTCACCTCCTGTCCCCCGCGGCAGCAAACCTCATCAATGGCGCGGCCACCTGACCCTCAACTCGTAGAGTTCCCGCGAATTCTTCTCCACCTCGCGCGGCACTCGGCAGACTGACAACCCGCGACAGGGATGGAGACCCTGCTAGCACTCACGAGGCAGATCGCTCGACGCCAGGAATGCCCGAGGGCCTTTTGGGCACCCGTGGGTTCTTCGGCGGACCTGTCAAAGAGAGTTGCGTAAGGAGAGGGGGGGGGCGCCACCCGCGTCAACTTCGGCACTCCCCACGAGCTGTGGGCCATGTTAATCGGCGGAGCGCGCAAGGGGAAGTAGGCTTTGGGGCAGCGTTGAGTTCCTTGGGGGGGCGCGGGGCCAGCCAAGGGCCCACCCTTCTTTTGACCAGCAGCTTCCAGGATTGCAGCAGCACGGCCTGAAAGGCCCCCAAGAGGTCTTCAAGAGGCGCCCAAGAGACCCTTCAGATGCCCCAAGGAGCCAAAGAGGCTCACAGCCACCAAAAGGCCCAAAGACGCACAAAAGAAAACCTCCAAGGGGCCTTCAAGAAACATCCCAACCGACTCCGAGAGGTACCCAGGGTGCCCTTACTCTAGCCCACTGAGGCTGCCCAAGGTATCCCAACGATGCCACGATCCCCCTGTAAGAACAGCTCCCCTGGACATCGTGACGGAAGGGCCTGAGGAGATACGCGAAGGGTTGAGAATTGAGGTCACGCAGCGGGGAACTGGACCCCGCCCTCCAAGTTGAAGCCAACGCATAGGAGGTGCGCGGGCGGGAGGGCACCCAGCCAAGAGCCCAATGCGCCCGTCAGCTCCCAAGGGGCCAACCAGCCATGAGCACCCCATGCGCCTCTCGACGAGGCCTGCAGGCCACCGAACTCCGCGATCGGCACCGCACGACTCGCGACGCGCTGCGGCCTCCGCGCCCTCGCGCCACCGTCCCGGGAGGGGGGACGTCCCGGCGGCCACGCCACGGGGTGCCAAGTCAGACCATCCTCGCGCCACAGAGCGCCAACGTGTGCGTGCCAGCCGAAGCCCTCAAGCGCGGCGCGGGCAGCGCAAGGAGGGCCCACACGGGCTGCGCGCCATCGGTGGAGCTGAGCGGGGTGAGCACACACACACACACACACACACACACACACACACGTTTGGCGGTCGCGGCCTCGCGCGTAGCGACGAGGCGGAGAAAGTCAGGTGCAACGGCTGGAGCCCCGCGCGCGCCAAGCTCAGAGGGAGCGGCAGTATATGCCATCCGGGCGTGGATGGCCGGAGAAAAGGGAGGACGAACCGACCACCGACGGGGGAGGTCTTGCGCTGAGAGTGCAGCAACGACACGACAAGCCAGTAACACACACACACACACGCACACACACACACACTGGGCCAACACAGGTGCTGAGGATCATGAGAGAATAGGGCACAAAAAGGACGCACGCGCCCAGCCACGTGCGTGAGCGCGTCCCCAAAATCGCGAGGCCACCATGGTGTCGCGAACGTTTGCGCCGCGCGCTCTCACGAAACCCGTGCGACTCATGTGCGCGTACGTCGTCTCCGCTTTGCTCCCGAGTAGGCCAGAGAAGGTACCTTGGCGGACGCTGGCGGAAGTGAAACGCAAACTGGCGGAAACAAAACTCGGCGCCCCAGGAAGAGTCAACGTTGTTGGTTCCAGGGCTTCCGCACTCTCCCACTTAGAGAGAGGGCAGCGGAAGGCCGCGAGGCGCGAGGCTGGACAACCTTCCTCTTCGACTATCTGCGGAGGCGTCGACAACCTTCCTCCACGACACGCCGTCGCCGACCGCCTTCAAAGAGGCCCCCTGGTTGCCTCGGGCCAGCGCGCGGGCCAGAAAGCAGCCTAAACTGTCCGAGGACCGCGATCATTTCTCCTCCTCCTCTTCCTCCTCCTCCTCCTTCCCCTCTTCCTGCTGTTCCGTCGATGATGGCATGAACATCGCACCAACGCTGCGACCCCATCCCCAGGACCGGGCAATCAAAATAGGATGTGCAGGACCAGAGTAGGCAAAAAAGACCGACAGACCTCCAAGGGTCGGGGCAACTAGGTCCCACGGCACCTTGGGGGGAGTGAGAGGAGAGAGAGGCAAGAGGAGAGAGAGGCAAGAGGAGAGAGAGGCAAGACAGAAGGCCTTCTGGTTATGTCAGGCGTGTCCTCCTACAAACAACTCGTCCCAAGACTATGTTTGACGATCCCTCCTGTAGAGGGACAGGCCCGACTTAACCTTATGGGGAACAAGCGGATAAGGTTAAGGGGGAGCAAGACGGCAAGACGTTGGCGGCGCGTGGGAGCGTCGGCTGCGGGAGGTGCGTTGGCGCGCCATGCCTCCGCGGCTAGCGCACGCCGACACGGGATGGCGCAAGGGCCTCTCCCTTCTCCCACCGGGAAGCCCCAGAAGATGGCTCCCAAGTCTAGCCTCACGTCGGGCACGTCTCCCAACAGGCGGATTTTGGAGGAACAAGTGGCACGCGCGCCCTGGCTCTTGCACAGAAGCGAAGGGGGAGGGGGCGGAGGGGGCGCGCTGGCTGGTGCATGGGGTGATGGAGGGGGCGCTCGGGATGGGGGTGTCGGGGCGGAGGGGGCGCGTTGGCTGGTGGATGGGGGGATGCCGAGGGGACGCTCGGGGTGGGGGGGGGGCGGTGCCGTGCCGAGATGCATGGGTCAGGGCGGAGGGGGCGGTGGCGCGCCCAAACAAAGGGGTCGGGGCGGAGGGGGCGCGATGTCTGAAGGGCGCGGGGGATGCGGAGTGGGCGCGCGCGGAAGGGACGGAGAGGGCGGTGCCGCGACAAAATAAAGGAGCCAGGTCAGAGGGGTGCGCCGCGCCGAAATTCGCCGGCCCAACGGGCCAGAGGCGTGCTAAGATCTCCGGTAACTGGTTAACAATTGTATTGTATTGTACTAGTTCGCGCGCGCGGGGCGGCCCCTGGGGGTCCCCCGGCGAAAAGTACCCCGCCCGCCGCCTGGGAAGGTCCCGCCCGGTTCAACTCAGAGATGGTTTTCCTTCTGGGTGCGGCCTCTCAGGCCGCCCTGAGCGCGCCAAGAGTGCCCCAAGAGGCCCCCAAGATTGCTCAAGAGGCCCCCGAGACGTTCAAAGAGCGCTCCAAGGCGCCGAAGATGACCCCAAGACGGCCCAAGAGACCCCCAAGACAGCCGAAGAGGCCTTCAAGACGCCCCAAGAGCCTTCCAAGAGGCCTCCGAAGAGGGCCCCAAGAGGCCAAAATCGTTGATTTTCATTGGTTTTTCCGATGTTTTTTGCGTTCTGGCTTTTTCGGCTTCCGGACGCTCCAAGACGACCCAAGAGGCGCCCAAGATCGCTCCAAGACGGCCCACGAAGCTCCCAAGACGGCCCCGAAACGGCCCAAGAGGGCCCCCAAGACGGCCCAAGTGCCGCCCAAGACGGACCAAGAGGCCCCAAGACGGGCCCAAGAGGGGCTCAAGAGGGATACAGAGAACTGAAAAATCGAGCCCTCCGCCCCAGAAGCCGCCCAGGAGGTCCCAAAGAGGCCCCAAGAGACCCCCAAGAGGCCCCCAAGACGCCCCAAGAGGCGCCCAAGAGGCCCAAAAGAGGCCCCAAGAACCCCGTGGAACGAACGATTCCCCCGCCACCCCCACAGACGGTCGCCACGAATCGACACGAACCTGTTCCACCAGGGCATCTTCACCACAAAAGGCCGAACGCAACGACTCAACAAAAAAAAAAGCCCCCGCTCCCTGCAGCTCCGCACTGCCGACGACCTCTCATCCAGTCGACCGCGGTGCGCAATACGGGCCGGCGGAATGAGCGAAGCGATTAAATAAATGGGTCGGGGCGGAGGGGCGCGCTGGCTTGTGAGTGGGTGGGTGGGGGGGGGGGGGCGTGACAAAAAGGGTCGGGGCGGAGGGGCGCGCTGGCTGGTGGGTGGGGGGGATGCGGGGGGGGCGCGCGCGGAGGGAGTGGGGGCCGCGCCGAAATAAAGGGGTCGCGGGGCGGAGGGGCGCGCTGGCTGGCAACTAGGGGGATGCGGGGGGGGGGGGGGGGGGGGCGTGCCGAAATATAGGCGTCGGGGCGGAGGGGCGCGCTGGCTGGTGGGCGGGGGGATGCGGAGGGGGTGTTCCGTTCCCAAATAAATGGGTCGGGCCGGAGGGGTGTTCCGCGCCGAGGGGCGCGCTGGCTGGCGGGCGGCGGCGGGGCGCGGAGGGGGCGTGCCGTGCCGAACTAAAACCTCTGGGCAAAGAGGTGTGCCGTGCCGAAATAAACGGTGTCGGGGCGGAGGGCGCGCTGGCTGGTGGGCGGGGGGAATGCGGATGGGGTGTGCAATGCCGAAATACACTCGTCGGGGCGGAGGGGTGTGCCGTGCCGAAATAAATGGGTCGGGGCGGAGGGGCGCGCTGGCTGGTGGGTGGGGCGGGGGGGATGCGGAAGGGGCGCGGAGGGGGTGCGCCGTGCCGAAATAAAGGGATCTGGGCGGAGGCGGAGGGGCGCGCTGGCGGGTGGAATGCGCGGGTGATGGAGTGGGTGCCGTGCCGATAAAATGGCCGGAGCTCTAGACACCCTGCGCAAGAGAAAAATTAGACATTGCAGAAGCAAATACACAACAATAAACAAAACTAGGAAACAAATCGCCCCCAGGCTATATTTCTACTATGTTTGGATATTCCTCCTGTAGAGGCACGCGCATAAGTCGAACCATGGTACCCTCGCCCGCCGAGGCCAAGCGAAGGCACCCAGGGCCGTTCTGGGGGCCGCGCGTGGATTCCAACCAGGCAATGGGAGGTTTGCCCCATCAAGTGGCGGCGGTCGCATGTTGTCTGACCCTCGCCCCCCCATCAATCCACCCACCGCTCCACGATGATTCGGCATTGAGCGCGGTAGAATGGTGACTGGGCTGAGAAATAAACTGGCATAGGCTGCGAGCTGGAACACGGAAGGGCAGCGGCTGTAGCTGCGAGCAGCGTGCACAGGTGCAACGGTTGTTGTTGCACGCCAGGCGTTCACGATGAGGCACCTAGCGCGCAGCGCTGAGTTAGCGACGCCGCTTGCCGCGGCTTCCCCAGCAATCGCCAGGGCAACCAGCGGCGGTCGTGCCTCTACTCCACCGACAGCCCATGCCCACGCCCGCCAATGTTGAGAGCCACAGGCCGACATATAGAATTGGACGTAGCGAGCTGCAGGCGGGGTAACGACTGGCCCACGGCGCGGTGAAACCTGCCCGCAACGATTGCGGTTGCCAGAGGAACGCAGCATGGCGAGACTAGGGCGCGAGCGGATTGCAGGCGAGCAGCGGCGGGCGCAGCTGAAAGCTGAACGCACACGGGCAACGAAATATGTTTGAGGATGCTCGCGCAAGATCTGAAGCACCTGGGTTGGGGCCGCCGCTTACCGCGGTTGCCCTGGCGCCAGCCATCACCGGGGCAGCCAGCGGTCGAGGTGCCCCTCCTCCTATGACGCCCTCCACCCAGCCGCCCGACGCCCCCCGCGGGCGCAAGGAGGAAAAAAGGTTTGAAGTGTGTTGCAGTGAGGGGGAGGTGGAGCCAGAAGGGGACGATGGTTGGTTGAGAGCCTCCTCGCGGCCTCCGGGATAGTTGGCTCTTCGCGCCGTCGCCACCGAGGCCCGCGCGCGCGCTGGCGATGACGGGCACCCACCGAAGAGGCGCATGAGAGCGCTCAACCCAGTGGCCTCTTGGAAATAGGTTGGCCCCACCCACCCCAGCATCCTCACAATGCGTGGGCATTTGACTCGCTGTGCGCGAGAATGCCGCGGCGGGCTTGGGAGCCCTGCACTGACCGCGGACCCACTCGCATAGCGCGGCCTTGTCGTGGTTGCATGTGGCCGGCGGGCGAGAAAGCCGCGGCGGGCTTTGAAGCCCTGTGCGACCGCGGACCCACTGCAAAGCATAGCGACCTCTGCGACGCAGCAGGAATCGCCGTGTGGCGATGATATCTGCGGCACGTCGGACTAATCTCGCACAGACGAGAAAACGCGGCGGGAGTTGGACCATGGTCATGTCGACGGTGCACCCGACGCAACACGCTAGCTGGGAGTGGGGAGTGCAATGTCTTATCGCAGAATGAAAGAGACTGCGATGCAGTGGGCAAGTAGGCAAGGTAGTGCAGATGCTCCTGCTGCTGTCGTAGACAGTGAAAATGGCTGTTGGAAGAATGATAGAGAGGAGGTCGGGTGCAATGTTGGGGACAGCTGGTGCACTCGGTGGTGGTGGCCGCCTGTGAGGAAAATTGGTGGAGGTCATTCGCATTGGAGCATAAACGGCAGGGAGAGCGACGCGCTGACAGGCCTCTGTGCGGCAGGTCCTGTCTTGGCATGCGGGTCGCGTTCGCCTCTTAGCCCGTGGTTTGGGGGGTAGGCGACACAAATGCGCCTCTCATTAGGTTGGCCCGTGCCACGGGCCATCGTGTCTGGATTGTGCAGAGAGCCGGATTTGGTGTCGATCACGCTGTCGGTGGGATCGCGTTGGGGTTGTCCGCTTGCGTAGCAAGTGATTCGTGTCTGTAGCGGACGCATGCTTGGCTGGTACACTGGTGTCATACAAATATTATGGCCCTGGCTGGGTTTGCACTCGTGATCATTGCCGTCGTTGCCAGCGCTGGCGTCCGGTCGCATGATCGGGTAGCACGTGTCCAAGATGTAGGCGATGATGATCTGATTCGTAGGCTTCCTTGGCTTAGGCAACCCAGGGAACTGCACTGTAGGGCGCGTCGTAGGTGCTGTGGATACACTGTGCTGTTGTAGTAGGTAACGCAGGTCCTGGGATCTCATGCGCTTGTCAACCGATCGTGCTCGTCCTTGTGCTAAATAGTGATGGCGAGTAGTTATCGCTGATTTTATCACCTGCTTCGAAAAAAAGGGTCGGGGGTCGGACGCCTGGCGTCGTTGACGTGCCCTGGCTGGGTGCAGGCTGGCTCCTGCTGGTGGTCTTGCGGCGGGCCTTGCGCGAACGCCTTCGGAGCTGTTGACGGGCCAGGTTCCTGCACATGGCTCGGTGTGCGGGTCGAAGGCTGGCCAGCGCGGGGGCTGTGCCCCGGGACAGGTGGTGGGTCGGCTTGGTCGGGTCTCTAGTGGTCGGGGGGTGGGTCAATCTGTAGCGCCTGGTCGAGGTGTTGGAGCAAAGTGTTCGCGTGCTCGAACATGTCGCAGGCGGCCGCCGTTTGGAATGTTGTCGCTGCGAATGCTGCGGGTACTCCGGTGTCGGCGCAGTCCGCGATCTCGTCACAACGGGGTACGCGCGCGGGATTTCCATGTCCTGGTTGATGCCGCTGGTCGGGTAGGCCATCAAGCCACTCATCTGGTGGATGACGTACCTCGAACTTGGCCCTACAGGATGTTGGGGTCGGTCAGGTCAGGCAAACTGACATGTATGATTCTGAGTCATGCGAGCGTTATTATTAAAGATCGGGATCTTGGTATCGCATTGAGTACTGCTTGTCGTTACACTTGTCGTTTCGACTTGACGGCTGATTGCGTGGTGCTGGATGTCTGCTGCTGTTGTCCCGCTTCGTACTCCGATGGGTGTTCTCCAACAGAGAATGTGCTCCTACGCATGCAGTAGCCATGCCGCCGCTGGTGGCTGGTTGGGATGCCTCCTCTCGGGGTGTGGGTTAGATGGGCGCGTGGAAGTGTCGTGCTTGGGAGCGGCTTGGACTCTGTGTGCCTGCCCATCCAGCGCGGGGGAAGTCGGCTTGGGGGTCGCTTGGGTCGGAGGCCCACCTCTCGGGGCGTCTTCTTTGACGCCGATTCTAGCGGTCGTCTGTGGGCCCAGCTGTTGGTCATCAGCAGGCTTTGTTTTCATGTCGGGGCACGATGGGGCGGCGGTCACCGAGGTCGGTGAAAGGTGGCGCGCCGCACTGCGGCAGGGGCGACTGCCTGGCCCATCTTGGAATCGGAGGCCGTTGGGAGGGGGGGGTGCCTTCCCTCGCTTGGGTCGTGGCACGTCGGTGGCTTCGGGGTTGGGTTTGGGATTTGTCGTCGCACCGTCCAGGGAGAAAGTAGCAAGCGTGTGGTGTGATCGATGGATGCGATCGCAGCGGGAGTTGCTGGTATATACTGGTGGCGGGGCATCTGAACGCGTCATCGGCGCGAGCTGGTCGAGAGTCTAGAGCAGATTGGCTCTGGTCGTCGCTCACATGGGGTCCCAACTGATAGGTTCGGTGGATCGCGCCGGATCGCCAATGCATCGCATCGGCAATGCATCCGCGGCGTAGGCGATGCATCGGCGCCGTCGGCGTGGAGAAAATCGAGCTCCACATCGAGCCGCATCGCAGGGGCATCGCCGATTCGGCGCAGTCCAGCGACCCCATCTACTCCAACCCCGTTTGGAGGCCTGGGTATGAGATGTGACATGTGACGCGGTTTGAGGACGGGCCCCAGGAGGACGGGCCCCAGGACACGAGGACGAGGAGGAGAGGAGGAGGAGGAGGAGGAGGAGGAGGAGGAGGAGGAGGAGGAGGAGGAGGCGAGGACGAGGACGAGGAGGAGGAGGAGGAGGACAGGAAGACGAGCGAGGGGGAGCCCCCAGGAGGCAAGGCAGGAAATGACGAAACGTCTCCAGCGTAACTCTTTCCAGCCTCCGGCGGCGGCCGCCCTCGCCGTCCTCGCCGTCCGTCTTCGATCTCGCCGAGCTCCTAAGCCCTTGCCGCTTCCTCGCCCTCGCCGCCCTCCTCGCCGCCCTCCTCGCCCTCGCCCTGCTCGCCTTCGCCGTCTCTAGATAAGGCCCGTGCGAAGCCTTGCCCCCTCCCCCTGCCCTCCTCTGCGCGTGGCCGACTTCCCCTGGCCGACCGCCGAGAGAGCGCGCCTCCGCCCGCGCGCCCTCCAGGCTCCGCCGCAACCTCAGGGCCAGGGCGCCCTGGCCAGCGGCCGCCGGCTCGCCGCCGCCGCCGCTGGCGTCGCCGCCGCCGTCCGTCGTTGCCCTCGTCCTCGTCATCTCGTCCTCGTCCTCCTCCTCATCCTCGCCCTCATCTCTCTCTCTCTCTCTCTCTTGGCCACGGTGTTGCTGCTCCTCCTCCTCCTCCTCCTCCTCCTCCTCCTCCTCCTCCTCCTCCTCCGCCTCCTCCTCCTCCTCCTCCTCCTCCTCCTCCTCCTAACACCCCTCTTGGTTGCGCTTAGACCCATCACGCGTTGACCCGTTCATACTGAGGCTGCGCCTTCACATGCGTTGAACAGCCACCCTCAAATGCTTTGAAATCCATTGGTATCCTCCTCCTCCTTGCGCTCTCCCTCTCTCTCTCTCTCTCTCTCTCTCTCTCTCTCTCTCCCGGCCATGGTGCTCCTCCTCCTCCTCCTCCTCCTCCTCCTCCTCCTCCTTCTCCTCGTCACCGTCGTCGCCGCCGTCCTCGGCGTCGTGGGCGTTGCCATCGCGCCATCACCCTCCCTGTTTCTATCTCCCCGTCGCTGTTGTCCTCGCTGCTGCCGCCGTTCCCCTCGCAATCACCGCCGGCGCCGCTCTTCCACCTACGTCCTCGTCGCCATCCTCGTCGCCGCCGTCGTCGTACCCAGACCTCTGCCGACGCAGGATTTTTTCACGGCGCGGGCCCTGGAACTCTCTAGGCCCCATCCCTGGGATCGGTACGGCTTCGATGCGGGCTGGGGAGTCCAGAAAACCGCCTCCGAGCACCAGAACCAAATATCCGATGCTCCGAAAAAATTGGGGTGGCCAATGTTGAACTATGTTCTGCCTCGTGCCCCGGGACCGTCAAAAACAAGTGAGGATACAAAAACCGGGCCCTACGGAAGTGGTCCAGACCCTAAGGAAGCGGTCCAGACCGCTGGGCGTCCATGCACCGAACAAAAGTTGGAGCGTCGGACGCCTGGGAAAGGACGGAGATCGGGTGCTCAGAGGTGGGACCCAGGGGCACGGGGGCCCCGAGGACGAGAACCTCAAAAGATCGAGTCGGCTCAACCTATGATGCACTTCCCTGTTCCCAGGGCCCCATCCCTCAGGAACCCTCCTTTGAACCACCGACGAGCAAAACACTCTTTCAGCGTCCCACCTTCCGCGGGGGGACGTAGCAGTCAGCCTCCCGTCCGGAAAAAAGCGATCTGGGATCCGAGGCCTGGCCCCCCCTGCCGATGTGAGCGAGGAGGGGAGGAGGGGAGGAGGGGTCCAGGGCTCTGGACCACCAATATGCTACGAGGCTCGTCTGCAGGACCACGACAGCGTGGAGCGTGCTGGCCACACACACCAGGTATTCTCCAGGCAGCCCCAGGCGGCCACTCCAGCCGCCTGGCGGACAGCTCCCCGGAACCTCCCAGAACGGGGGGGCTGGCGGCGTCGGCTGCGGCAGACCCCCCCGCCCCACCCCTGGGGACGAGCCGCCTGCCGACGGCTGGACGTCCCGCGGGATCGCCTCCTCCTCCTCCTCCTCCGCCTCCTCCGCCTCCTCCGCCTCCGCCTCCGCCTCCGCCTCCTCCTCCTCCTCCTCCTCCTCCTCTTCCTCCTGCTCGTCTTCCTCTTCCTCCTCCTCCTCCTCCTCCTCCTCCTCCTCCTCCTCCTCCTCCTCCTCCTCCTCCGCCTCCGCCTCCTCCTCCTCCTCCTCCTCCTCCTCCTCCTTCTCCTCCGCCTCCGCATCCGCCTCCGCCTCCGCCTCCGCCTCCTCCTCCTCCTCCTCCTCCCCTCCTCCTCCTCCTCCTCCTCCTCCTCCTCCTCCTCCGCCTCGTCCTCCGCCTCCGCCGCCTCCACCTCTTCCTCCGCCTCCGCCTCCGCCTCCGCCTCCACCTCCTCCTCCTCCTCCTCCGCCTCCTCCTCCTCCACCTCCTCCTCCTCCTCCTCCTCCTCCTCCTCCTCCTCCTCCTCCTCCTCCTCCTCCTCCTCCTCCTCCTCCTCCTCCTCCTCCTCTTCCTCCTCCTCCTCCTCCTCCTCCCCTCCTCCTCCTCCTCCTCCTCCTCCTCCTCCTCCTCCTCCTCCTCCTCCTCCTCCTCTTCCTCCTCCCTCTCCGGGAAAGAGAGCGTGCCAGAGGGAGACAGAAGGACGGATAAGGATGACGCGGATGACGGGAATCACAGGGCAGCTCGCACTTGAGCTCCACCGCTAGCCCAAACGGCGAGCACAGATCGGGCGCAGCCCCGTGGAAATTGCGAGGGCAAACTTGTGTGGGCCCCGTCGGCTTGCTACGGCTCCCAATTTAGCCTCGGCGTCATCGTCGCCATCCTCCCCCATTCTCCTCCTACTCCTCCGAAGCCGTGCCCGCCTCCGCGGAGGCCAGTCTGATCACACTCGTGCCATCACACCGTATGTTGCTATAGGTTGCGCCATAGGTGGCGCCATGGGATGCGCCATTCGTGGGATGGCGTCATCCATGGGTTGCGCCGTTGGTTGCGACATCCATGGGTCCGCCATGGGTTGCGCGATCCAAGGGTTGCGCAATAGGCTGCCCCATGCACAAGTTGCGCCAAAGGATGCGCCCATGGTTGGCTCCATCCATACTGGTCGCGTCCTCGGCGGCCGTACATAATCCAACCTTCTACTACTTGCGTCATAGGCTGCGCCCTCGGCGGACGATCACATCGCACTGCTACTGGTTACGCCCTCCGCCGAAAATATAACGGCCTGCAACGATTGGTTGCGCCATAAAAGCGTCCGTGTTGGACGAACGTATAACGGCCTTCTACCAGGTGCGACCAGCCAGTCAGTGCACTTCCAGGAAAACATGTTCGGGCTACACCCGAAATAACGATGATGGGGAGGCAGAAACGGACTCGGGGCTGATCGCGATCGGGTCAGGGAGATGGATTTGCAGAAAAGATAGCCGGGCGAACTGCATAATGTGGCCCAACGCGTTATAGACGCACCCAACCTACCCCTTCTGATACCTACGTGTAGAGCTACCTAACAAGTTCGACGTGCTGTTTGAATACAGGTAAGCAGTGCTAACAACTTTGGACTTTGCCCCGCTTGGCATAAGTGTAAGCCAGACGCAAAAACACCGCAATGCGACTCACACAGCGAGGAGCAATCCGCCTGACCATTTACGCTAAATATGGCAACATAAGAACCTCACATTGTAATAAGTTGAAGGGGCTCAGCTACACACAGGCTGCCAATGCCCCAATCCCGAAGACCTCGAAACAGCGTCCCATATCGAAAGAGAACGCAAGGATGTCCTGCCACCACCCCTCCCTGGAAACCAGAGGGACCCGAGGGATAATAAGGAAGGAACAGGGGGACTTTCCAGAGGACTTGCCGAAACCGACTCAGTCGGAGGGAAGGAAAACGAGGAAGGAGGAGGGAGGAAGAAGGAGGAGGAAGGATCGATCCCCAAACGATCCCCTGTGACCGCAGTGGGACCCAACATCGAGCCTCGATCCTCTTCCCCAGGAGCCCCCAACGGGTACACACTCACATGAATCACGGATCCACGGATCGGGGAAAACTACCCGCCCCCCCGAGACGTGCAGCCGGTGCCGCCTGATCTGGCGTCGGAGCGCGCAGATCTCGCGTGGAAGCGGGGCGCCCCACTAATCCGCGCGCCCTGATCCGTGTTGCACTTCCACGCAAGGGGGGGCTGGCCGAGGGGGAGGGGGGGTTCACATCCAGCTGAGAGGAGTCGGCGCGACGTCGCCGACAGATCGGCGGCGGTGCCTATGATGGCGAAACCGCCGCTCTCCTCTCCGCCAGAGGGCGTCTCTGGCGCTCGGAGGCCCAGACCCCCGACGGCATGATCTTTCGGCAGCGTCGGCCCGCACAGGTCCGGACCTCACTCCTCGGGGCCCGCTCTCAATCCCGAGCTGCTTGCCGACGGTCCCTGGGCCCAGCGGGCCCCCCGAGGCCGGAAACAGCAGAGAACCGCTTGCCATGACTTCGTCGGGGCACGAGCTCTGCGAGAGGAAGCATCCACATCTGCGCTGCCTCCGCCCGCCCGCGGGCAGGGGGGGGGGCACGCCAAAGAACTATGTGCACAGACGCCCTCCGAAGAACTTTGCATGTAGCCTCAGGGAGGTGACGGTGTAGAAAGGCGCTGGCTCCCACAGCCGCTGGCTCTCACTGGCGATTCATACGCCGCCGCCCTCCCCGGAGGCCCAGAAACAAACCATCGGAGGTGTCTGTGTCGGCGGTGGACAAACCTCCCTTTAGTAAACCACCCTTTAACGAAAACGGCCTGGGACCAAAATCGACGGGCCGCGACGCCCTCTCGCGAACCGAAAATGGCCAATTCACTAATCGACGTGTCAGGGTAGGAGGTCTATCAATCTCCGGCTGTGTATACCTTTTTTGCGGCGGGGGCGGGGCCTGCGCCTCCATCTCGGCGCGGATCCTGTGCAGACGGTCGCGCAGCGCCTCCCACCACGCGGCAGCACGCTCCCCGGGCCCCGCCCCCCCCGAGGGAAGGGCCCCTGGGGCTCGGCGTTGCGGGACGACGATATGGCGGGGGGCCTGAGGGGAGGATCGCGTCACGAAATATCCGAGGACATGTTTTTTTTGATCTCAGCACCTGTTATCGGGAGCCACTGGTTGAAAACAGAGAGATTCTCGAATGTCTGGTTCCAGTGGCCTCGGCGAGGTCTTTGTGGAGGAGCCGGTGGGGGAGGGTGGTATTCTGGGCGTTTCTGGGCTTTGGGCCAGGGCCTCTCGTCAACACGACCAGTGTCCTCTCGAAGTGATGGTTAGGGCGCGCTCGAGGATGGGCCAGGAGAGGGGGAGTATCACGTAAAAACGCCTCGGGAGACACTGAAAACACGGCGGAAGGTTATCGCCAATGTTCTGCTCTCCAGGGCCCCCGAAGACCCAAAAACTAACCAGGATGAAAAGCATGTCCACGGGATGAGGATCAGAAATTGGGAAGCCACGCTGCGAAAAAAACACGACGTTGGATGTCTGGGGAGACTTGGACCCGTAGAGGCCTCCTGGATGAGATCCGAGTAGACTTGGTCGGAAGATTGCACCGCATTGCCGAATTATCGGCGATGCACCGGCGCCGTTGGCGATGCAGCGGCGACGTCGGCGTGGAGAAGATACGGCTCCCACATCGAGCCGCATCGGTGATGAATTGGCGATGCATCGGCAATGCGACTCGATCCTCCGATCCCATCGACTCTTTGGAGTCCCAAAACGGTGCGGTGACAGACCGTGCAGTGACCTCGAAATCCCTCAAGACCTCACCGCACGGTCCGTCAACGCACGGTCTCCCTGTCGCCCGAGACATCCTCGGAGAGGGACTCGAGTAAAAAAAACCGTGCGGTGACCCCGAATCCTCACAGACTCACCACACGGTGTGGTCATCACCCCGTTTGGGGGCCCCCGAGACTCCGGCCCGACCCCGTCTGGGAGGCCCAAAACCCCGGGATCCCGGTGTCGCATGTTTCGTGTCACCACGCATGCTCGCCCAGGCCCTGAGGGGGCCCCTCGCGGATCGGCCCGACCCGAAGAATTCTCCCAGTCGTGAAGAAACACAACCTTTTGTGGACTCATGTGTGCGCCCCTGGATCTCAGGGAGGGAGGGCCCCACTGCCAGCTGGCAAGAGGGGGGAGGAGGTCAGAAAAATCTCAACACCTCGAGGGCCTCAAAAGTGCTGCCACGAGAACCCAGAGAAGCCCAAAAGCAGAGCCGCGATCCGCCAACCACCCCCGACGAAATCCCAAGAAGCTGAAACCCCAAGATTCCCCGGAAATCGTTACGCAAACTCCGTTTTTCACTCTTACTGCCGCCCCAAGGGGTCGGCGGTGCGGCGTCAGCCAATGAATCTCAACACCTCGAGAGCGGGGGGAAGGAGGAGAGAGGGGCGCCCATCCATCCGGCACCTCGATCTAGGCGGCCTGTCTGGCCTCACGTTTGGCCTGTGGGTCGAGGGAGGGGGGGGGGGGCCTGGCAGGGGGTGAGGGGCAACGCGGGGGGGGGGGAGGGGGGCAAAAAACACGTCCAACAAAACCTCGCGGGGCGAGGAGGCACTGCCGTACCCCCTCGCGTCGTGTCAGCAGAATCGGAGCCCACCAGGGGGGGGGGACCCCGATGGGGGGGGGGGGGAGTTGGATCCGCTGGTGCATCGAGCTTCCGAAAAAAAAAATGCCCCCCGCGCGCCCCGATTGTCGATGCCTCTCGGCCTCTGGCGGCGGCCGGAGACCTCGTCTTGCATCGCTTTTCCGCGGTTCGATGCGCCAGCGGACCGAACTCCCCCCTTCCCTCGGCACCCCCCCCCTTTGCGAGGTCCCGACAGGAAGAAGCACGACGGCGGGCCAGGGCCGCTGTCGGCCTCAGGGGGCCCTTGCCACGGTCTGGGGCCGCCCACAGACACCCTCTCGGGACGAAGGCTGGTCGACGGGACGGGGTCCGGACCTCCGATGGTGAAGGAATCACGACGTCGGAGGTAAGGTTAGGTCGGGCGTGTCCCCCTACAGGCGGATTTTGGACGAACAATAAAAAATACCCAACAACAGGCTAGAAAAATATATGACTATTTTTGAATGTTCCCCCTGTAGAGGAACAGGCCCGACTTAGAGGTAAGGGGAGACAGAGAGAGGGAAGAGATTCGAGGGGGGGCACACCGCCCAGTCGAGGGAGGTGTCAGTCGAGAGACCCGTGCCATCTTTCCCCCCCCCTCCTCATCCTCCTCCTCCTCCTCCTCCTCCTCCTCCTCCACCTCCTCCTCCTCCTCCTCCTCGAGCGGCAGCGGGAGTCCTCGCCACCCCCTCGGGGAGCAGCGACAGAAGAGTGGGAGGGAGGAGGGGCAGGAGGAGGAGGGAGGGAGGAGGGACTCTCTCGCTCTCACCCAGTCAGCTCACCGTACTAAAGTCAGAGCATGTTCGTAAACCTGGGGGGGGGGCGAAGATTTGCGCTCTCGCCCTCCTCTTCGCATTCCAATGAGAGCACCATGCGCTCAAAATGGATGGCACCAGACTGTACGGGAGCCTGGCCGACAGCCCACTGGGAGGAGCAGGAGGAGGGAAGGGATGGAGGAGGAGGAGGAGGAGGAGGAGGAGGAGGAGACAACACTGGGAGAGGCCTTGGGCGCGATCAAGACCCTAGTGCCTGCGCGCACAGGGAAGGTGGGGCTTCATTGCTCTCAGAATTGTGGGGGGCATGTTTGTTTCTCCGTTTGCCACGTTTGGCCCTTGAGTCGTTCAAGCGGTGTGAAAAATTGCACCCAGAAAGATGGGACGCACAGAGACATACTAATTCTAGACGTCCTCCTTGGAGGCGCGCGCCCGACCCTAACATATAGTGTACCCATCTTGTAGCATGTAGTTTCCCGAGCGGCGTGGCCAGAAAACGCCCACCACGACGCATGTACTATGAGATTTCTCGGTGCGCGCGTCGCTCCTGGGGTGGGGGGGGCGACGCACATATAGTAGAAGTAAGTTGGCGCGACGCTGAAAAGAGGACGTCATGCATGCGCCACTGTGGCATCCAAAAACCTGCTCAAAACAAAAACAAATTCTCGAAACGGGCAGGTGGGCCACGGTCCGACCCTGGACCTGCCAACCTAAGAAAGAACTGCGCCGAAGCTGAACGTCAACGGTCAAAACGGAGAGATCAACGCCCTCAACGGTCGCTGTTTACCAGCAGAGAAGAAGCCGAAGAGGATGGGGGCGCGCGAGCGGGGTGGCCTCCTGAAAACGTGGGGGGGGGGCTTCTGAGAAAAAAGGGGCGTTCTTGGAAGGGCCCCGAGTCTTCCCCTCGCCTTCTCAGGAGGCCGGCCCCCTCGCCCCACGCCCGCCGTGGCGCGCGGCCAAGAGTGTCAAGCCAGATTGCCAGACTACCGAACCAAGCTTGAGCTTGGGCGACCCCAAGATCACCGGCAGGGGCCAGATGAAGCCAGACGGGGCCACGTCGGGCTGGAGTTGTGCCCAAGAGGTGCGACACTTGGCACGGGGGAAAGGTTTCGTGCCACCCAGCATCGCCGACGGATCTATGTTATGTGTATTATATATAACCATATACATATATGTGTGCTTACCTTCAAGCTAGTATGTATGAGTGTATGCAAATTGTAAAGGTGCTGTGTGTTTGGGAAGGGGGGGCAACATCTGTCTTCATCGTCCTCCTGTCGCTCGGACACGCGCTTTTTGTGTGCGACTTTTCTCTCCGCGGGGCTTCTCAAGAGAACCACCGCACTCCCCACAGCCCCGAAGAGCGGCCTGCATGGGTCCGAGTGGAGTGAGCGGATCCCCAAAAAGAGCTCAAGCAAAAAAGCGCCACCGTGCGTTCAGCACGAAGCGGAGTGCCCCGCTCATGCAGTACTGAGGGGTGGATAGAAGGGTTGTAAGGTTGCGAAGGGCCCAGGCCGCACAAATTCATAAATTCCTCGGCGCTGCCGGGAGCTTCCGGGGTGACCCATGTCAGCATATGGGGCGGCCCCCTCTCGCGCAGGAGGGCCCCAAAACAGCAGAGGAAGCACCGCGAGGCCGCCCACGCAGTCCAAGAGGGCCCAAACTCGCCGAAAGAGCGCCCGAGGCCGCCCAAGATGGCCTCCAGACGGCCCAACACGCTTCCAAGATGCCACAAGAGGCTTTCAAGAGCACTCGCAAGAATACTCCCAATGGGCCCGAGATGCATCAACCCTTGGATGTCCAATAAGTTGGTCAACGGTTTTCAATTTCTGCCCTCTCGGCTTCCCAATGCTCCAAGACGGTTTTTGTTTTCAAGGCCGCCAAAAGGGCGCCGAGACGGCACCGGAGGCCTCCAAGACGGCCCAAGAGGCCCTCAAGAGAACCCCAAGGACGCCCCAAGAGGGCTGCCAGAGAGGGAACGCGAAAAGCCGACATTTCGAGCTCGCCGCCCCAAGAGGCACCCGGGAGGCCACAAGACGCTCCCAAGAGGCCCCCAGGAAGCCTAAAGAGGCTCTCAAGAAGCTCCCACGAGGCCCCCAGGAGGCCTCAACACTGCCCTAGAGAAGCACATCCGAAGGAAGCCCGAGAAGCATCCACGAGGCCGCTGGCCCACAACTCAGGCACGGGGGCGGGATGGATCGAACGCCATGAGACCTGCTTGGCACGGGGGCGGAACGCGCTCGCACTGTGAGGCGTCGAGATCGCTTGTTCAGTGCTTCGGAACCCTCTTATACACACACACACACATACATGCACACACACACACACACACACGCGCCCACCGGCCCGGAAGCCGCCCCTGCGCGGGAGGCGCGGCGGAGCCTCGGCTCCGGCCCTCAGATGTACGTTAACACGGCGTCGATCCACCTCTTTCTCAGTCTGCGTGACCGTCTCGTCAGCCAAAGAGGTTCCCATATGACTGCACGGTGAGCCCAGCTGTCTACCGCTTCTTGCATATTTCTGTACCGTTGTGTTGCTGCAGACCTGTGGCTTTCAATCAAGTCACGAACGCC